GCTTGATCCATGGGAATGCAACACCCTAAACACCTCTTGGCTGGGGCAGAGGCACCTCTTGGTCCATTCTCTGAAGTCCAGGGCAGGTTTCCCACCTGTCCCCCTGTCCCTGTGCCCCCTGTCCATCTGTCCCACCTCTCCCAGCCCCCAGGCAATGCTGCTCTCCCCCAGAGGAGCAGGGGGAAGGCAGAGCAGCATTCCAGCTATTCTGAGCTGCTGTGTGACTCTCAGCAGATCCCAGACACGCAGCCAAGGTCCAGGCAGGTCCTGAACTTGCTGAGAGCTAAAAACTTCTTACCTGGTGCCCTTGCAGGCACTACATTTATGGAATTAAAAAAAGAAACAAAAGAAAAAGGAGGGGGAGGAGGATTTTGGATGTCTCCAAAGACTTTGAGGAGATTTCTTTGTGGGATTCTCAAATGCCCAAAGGGTTTTTAGACCAAGCAGAGACATGGCTGTGTGTTATAATAGAAAGGCTCTGACTCTTCTCCCTTTATGTCATCATTTACACCCACACAAAGCCACTATCAAATTCCACAGGAGTGGGGATACATCACTCAGCACTGGATCACTGGATAAATTTAGTCCACATGGGACAGAAATAGGAGGTGGAGAAGTTCATCTGGCTTTGGAGGATCAAATGACAGGCAAAGCATCCACAGGAACACAGGTGGCAATGGCCAATTCCAAACAGTTTTGGTGGAATTTGAGAAAATGTCATTGAACCAGATACTGAAATAGGAAATAAGGCATTAATTAAATAATGGGTGAGAGATCTGGGAAAGTATTGAGGGAAATAACAGCCAAAATTTAAATTATCTGTGGGATAAAGGCAGCTCCATCAGCTTGGGGCAGGAATGTCTGGGCATCTCTGCACTCAAATGAAGCTGATAGAGAAATTTATAGGGAGAAGCCATAGAGACAAGGAATGTGAGGAGTGTCTGAGGGGGCTGAGCCTGGAGCAAAGGAGGCTCAGGGGGCCCTTGTGGCTCTGCACAGCTCCTGACAGGAGGGAACAGCTGAGGGGTCAGGATCTGCTCCCAGGGAACAGGGACAGGAGCAGAGGGAACGGGATCAGAATGAGCCAGGGGAGATTTAGATTGGATATTGGGAAAAATCCTTCATGGGAAGGGTGTCCAAGGATTAGAACAGGCTGAACAGGGCAGTGGTGGAATCCCCATCCCTGGAGGTGCTCAAAAAATGAGCCATGGGTTTGTGGTGGAGCTGGCACTGCTGGGAAATGATCAGAACTTGATGATCATGGAGGGCTTTTCCAGCCCTGGTGATTCCATGATTCTCTGTCACTTCACAGCAAACTGGCAAAACACATCTTCAGCTCAGATCTATCCAGTGTAGGTGTCTGTAAACCCTCTCAAGATCCCAAATCTGCCTGTTGCCATTTCCACATTGATCTGGGAGGAGAGAAGGAATTAAAATGGAAGGAATTAAAATGGAATAATGTTTGCTCCTGTGTTCCAAGGGACTTACATCATTGGCCAGATGATACAGAGCCTGGTCCACGTTTCCTTCAGCAATACAGAAAAGCCCCAGCCCTTGGTGTAGCTTGGACTGGAGAGCAGCACTGCAGTCTGGGCTTTGGAGAACAATCCACTGGGCTTGGGAGAGGTATTTGGCTGCCTGTCGGGGACGGCCAGCACCTGGAATGACAAGGAGGGATAATCAGGGAAATCAGGGAGGTAAAGGAGCATTTTTTAATCTGGAGAATGCTACTGGCTGTCCTAGGCTAGCTTGATATGGAGATGCATTTTGGGGATTCCCCACTTCTTTCCCAAGTGCTTCTGAGCTACCCTGGTAACTCATTTACAGAGAGGTGAATGTGTAGAGAGCTCCAAAAGGAGCCAGAAACCACAGAATTCCAGACTGATTTGGATTGAAGGGGACCTTCAGGGTCATTCTAGTACCACCCCTGCCATGGGCAGGGACACCTTCCTCTATCCCAGGCTGCTCCAAGCCCCATCCAACTGGGTCTTGGACACTTCCAGGGATAGCCACAGCTTCTCTGGAGAAACTGTGCCACGGCCTCTGCACTCTCACAGGGAAGGATTTCTTCCCAATATCCCATCCCAATGTCTGCCCTCTTGTCCTGGCACTCCAGAACCTTGTCGCCAGTCCCTCTCCAGCTCTCTTGGAGCCCCTTTAGGCACTAAAAGGGGGTCTGAGGTTTCCCTGGAGCCTCCTCAAGGTCTCCCAGCCTGGCTCCATGGCAGAGGACACGTTGCACACAATCCCTCTGGAACACGTGGCCTGAACAGGTTCACTGCAGGCAGGCACTGCTGTCTCTCACTCTATCACAGTGGAATTACTCACTGGGTTTTTTCTCCCTGCTCTCACCACAGCCCTGAGTCAGCCCTGCCGTGCCAGCAGAGCATTGTGTGAGCTCCTGGAATGGCAGTGATTTACAGGCAGAGCGGCTCCCATGCCCTTATTTGCCACGTTTTCCAAAGCAAACAATGAGAAAAAGCCCTGCTCAGGCAGAGCAAGATTTGAGAATGAACCAGGAGTTCTTTGGGTGCAATGGCCTCTGAAATGTTTGCTGAGATAAGAGCACAACTAAGCACCCCGTGGAATTTAACACTTTGGGGAGTCATCTGAGGCCGTGGAGGTAAATGATAGAATTTCATACAGCTTCTCCTCTGGGAATTGGTGGAGAGGGAGAAAACATTTCATTTGATTTCATTGATCCCCTGAGTGCTGAGTGCAGAAAAGGGGTGTGAAGGGGGTGTGTGTGTGTGACAGCTCACGTCTCTGCAATGCCCTTGAGGCACAGCAGGGCCCACAAGTGCTCCTGCCCAGATAAATGGCAAAAGGAAAGCAGAAACCCGAGCCGGGATGCCTTGCCCTTGCCAGCATTCCTGTGTTGACAATGCTCACAATGCTCACCCGTGCAGGCCTCGGCCAGGAGCAGATAGATGGGCAGGAGGCGCAGGGAGGCCGGGCCCAGCAGGCGGCAGCTGGAGCGCAGGGCCTGCAGGGCCGCAGGGATGGCATCGAGGGGCTGCCCTGCCCACACAAAGCACTGCGCCCTGCTCATGGCCACGGCAACCAGGGACTCCTGAGGGGAAAAATGGGGAGAAAGAAATCACAGAAACCTGTAGGAACTGAAATGAGGGGTGAGGGACTCCAGGGGCTGTGCTCATAGCCACGGCAATCAGGGACTCCTGAGGGGAAAAACGGGGAGAAAGAAATCATAGAACCCTGTAAGAGCCAAAATGAGGGGTGTGGGACTCCAGGGGCTGTGTTCAGTGCCACCACAATCAGGGACTCCTGAGGGGAAAAATGGGGAGAAAGAAATCACAGAATCCTGCAAGAGCTGAAATAAGGGGTGAGGGACTCCAGGGGCTGTGCTCATAGCCATGGCAATCAGGGACTCCTGCAGGGAAAAAACAGGGAAAAGAAATCACAGAACCCTGGAACAGCCGAAATGAGGGATGTGGGACTCCAGGTAGCTCTCCAAAATGCAGTTACAGCAGTCCAGGGTTCTGGGTGACAGTCTGTGCCTACAGCTGTCAGCTCCAGCTGCAGGCGGGTCTGGAGACCCACATCCCTCATTCAGGCTCTTACTAATGGTGCCCCACGTTGGGCACCACTGTAAGAACCTAAATGAGAGATGTGGGACTCCAGGGGCTCTCCAAAATGCAGTTTATTGTACCCAAGAGTTACACAGTCCAGGGTCATGGATGACAGAGCCTGTGTCAGCTCCAGCTGCAGGCAGGCCTGGAGTCCTGCATTCCTCATTGAGGCTCTTACTAATGGTGCCCCACGTTGGGCACCACTGTAAGAGCCTAAATGAGCGATGTGGGACTCCCAGCAGCTCTCCAAAATGCAGTTACAGCAGCCCAGGGTTGTGGGTGACAGAGCTGTGCCCACAGCTGTCAGCTCCAGCTGCAGGCAGGCAGGCCTGGGGATCCACATTCCTCATTCAGGTTCTTATTAATCTCTCTTATTATTGGCACCTCACGTTGGGCGCCACTGTAAGAGCCCAAATGAGAGCCTGGGACTCCCAGCAGCTCTCCAAAATGCAGTTTATTGTATCCAAGAGGTTACAGCACTCCAGGGTTGTGGGTGACAGAGCTGTGCCTACAGCTAGAGCTGCAGGCAGGCCTGGAGTTCCTTTTTATTTGGTTACAATGCATTCTATATTTTTCTTTGTTGAGCATCTCAATACAGCAGAACCAATCTATACCTTAACTGTTATCTATAGCCCATCATAACTACTGTAATTACCATATTCATGTTACTGTTCTCCAATCACTAAAGTTAGTACATTACAGTTTAAGCCAGAAGTTGTTTTTCAGTTTTCTTGCAGTGGAAAATTCTGAGAGCTTTTTTCTGCTTGCAACTTTGCTGACTTGTTTGCCTGTGCTATCTTTCTGCTTGGTAAAAACATCTTTTTGTCTGAGGTGGGTTTATCCTTTGCTCTAAGTCATAAAAACCCCTTCTAACTAACACACCCTTTGCCTCCTTGGTTATCCAGTGAGACTGGCTCAGCAATTCTTTTCTTCTATATCAAAACTTGCTTCCATCTCTATTCCTTCTTCAGGCTCTACATTGAAAAATCTTTCTGCTAAGCCCCCTTTTTTTTGGGCTTTTTTTTTCAACTTTTCTTCTTTCCCACCGGACCCCACAATGGTTTGGGTTGGAGAGACCTTAAATTCCATCTCATCACATCCCCTGCCATGGGACACTTGTCACTAGACCAGGTGTGTCACAGACATATTTTATGAAAAATCCTTTTGCCAGCATCTTTTCTCCTGGGAAGCTGAGAAGCTTCAGCTTCTCCATATTTTGATGCTTTGGAATGTGATTTGGAGAACTGTTTACCCAGCATTTGAAATTGGTTTTACTTGATGACCAATGACAGTCACCTGTGTCATGGCTGCACAAGATTTTATCATCATTCCTTTCTAAGCCTTCTGATGAAATCTTTTCTTCTATTCTTTTAGCAGAGCTTTAATATACCATTTTCTTTTAATATAATATATATCTTAAAATAATAAATCAGCCTTCTGAAACATGGAGTCAAGATTCTCATCTCTTCCCTTGTGCTGGGACCCCTGCAAACACCCCCACATAGTGGTTACAGATGCACAGGCTCTTTTCAAAATTGGGTTTTCAAATTAAAAAGCAGCAATTGTAATGTAGTTTGTGGCTGTAATTAATAGACAGACATTAAAGCTGTCATATTAGAAGGTATTAGAGTCTGGCTCCATTCCTGCTCTGAGCAGGAACAGCTTTGGTCATGTGGTGTCTTCCTGGATGAAGAATCCTTTACGCCTCCTGACAAGGTCTCATAAGGCTGCAGCAATAAAAGCTGTGAAGCACAGAAAATGATCATCACAAGACCAGAAAGGAGATTAGAGCCAGGGGCTCTGGTGTGACTCAGAGCCAGCCAAGCCCCGTGCTGCCAGCCTGGCACAGCTCCAGCTGCTGGAGAGAGCTCCTCACAGGGAACTGCAGCTTCATCCCACCCTCTCCTGGCTGCTCCTGCGCTGGGATTTGGTGTGCAGAGTTTGAAAACTGGTCAGAATCAGAATGTATTGTTCTTCCTGGCTGCTCCTGGACTGGGATTTGGTGTGCAGAGTGTGAAAACTAGTGAAAATCAGAATGTATTACACTCAGCAAATCCATCCCCAGCTGGGGATGCTGCAGTGTTTGGGTTTGTCAGAATTCAAAACTTATCCTGTATTATCCATATATACATGGCACAGCTCCAGCTACTGGAGACAGGGCCAGGGAACAAGGAGAGAGCTCCTCACAGGGAACTGCAGCTTCATCCCACCCTCTCCTGGCTGCTCCTGCACTGGGATTTGGTGTGCAGAGTGTAAAAACTGGTCAGAATCAGAATGTGTTACACTCAGCAAATCCATCCCCAGCTCCTGCAGTGTTTGTGTTTGTCAGAATCCAAAATTTATCCTGTATTATCCATACCTAGCTGCTCCCTGCCTTTTGCTGCTCCTACCACTCCACACCATTTTCCTCCCCAAGGTTAGCAGCAGCTGATGCAATCCCCAGCTCCACAAACAGATCTCCATCCCAATTCCTGCTCCCCGCCAGGAGCTGTGCATTCTGTGCCCGTGCAGGAATGCCAAGGAAAAAGCCCCAGGATCCTTGCAGGATGACAGAATTCCAGAAAGGTTTGGGTTGGGAGAGGCCCTAAAGCTCATCTTTTCCACTCCCTATCATGGGAAGGGACAATTCCACTAGACCAGGTTGCTCTGAGTCCATCCAGCCACTACTGACACTTCTCCATCAGCTTTTCCCAGCAGTGGTGCAGCAGCAGTGGTGCTGCTGGAGAGCACAGAACTGCTGGTTCTAGCCTGGTTTTCTCAGTGAGACCCTGAGGAAACACCAGTTCACCCCTTTATCACCCTCTGCCTCCAGCTGGGGCTGAGCTGGGCACAGACACCAATCTCAGAGCTCCTGGAGGCCAGGCTTGGCCATTCTGCTGAGCTTGAACTGCTTGGAGAGAGGAAGATTTGTGCCATGGGTGAAAAAGGAACTCCAGGATAGCCTGGGAGAGTTTCCTGGAGATCCTGGCTGAGGTTAAGAGACACCTTTGGGATAAATGAGATCACCAAAGAGCACAGCCCAGAGCAACAGCCCCTGCTGCAGTGAGGAGAGCCAAGAGCCAGAAATCACAGCACCCATTCCTGAGCTACCAGAACATGGAAAGGGCAAAGAGAGGTTTTCCAGAGATGTTCTGGCATCCCTGGAAGGGTCCAAGGGTGGATTGAACAGGGCTTGGAGCAACCTGGGATGGTGCAAGGTGTCCCTGCCCTTGGCAAGGGGTGGAATGAAATGGACTTTAAGGTCTCTCCCATGCCAAACCAGTTTGGGATTCTGAGTGTGTCCAGGGAGCAGGTGGTGCCCAGGAGAAAGCCAGCACAAGCTTGGGGCAGCAGCAGCAGGAAAAGCTGGTTATTTCTCAGGCTGCTTTTTCTGTCTGTGCCAGTCTGGTGCAAGCAGTGCAAACCCCAGTGCGTGGGCACGGACCAGATTGGCATCTGGGAGGTGCTGGAGATTGGGATCTTTCTTTTTTTACTCCTTGTCAATGCTATCTTTGCTGCTTCCCATGGCCTGAAACATCTGCAGCGAGGACAAAGCAGGGGGTTGGACCCTGGCACAGCTTCCAGGAGGAGGAGGAGGAGCAGGAGGAGCCCTGGAGCAGTGAATATTTCCACCCACAGCTCCAAGCCTTGGAGCAAGGCTCCCTTTGGCCCTGAAGAGCCCTGGGGGGATGGTTCCCTTTGGTTCTGCCCTGGTTTCCCCCCACCTGGGCTCTCTCCATGGGTGTTGCAATTTGAGGTTTCTCTGAAGATGCCCCCACACAGTTTTTGGGGTTTGAGGGGGCTGAGGACCCCAGCTCTGCTCCAAGTGGGAGCAGAGGGTTGGGAACACACTCAGGGCTCAGTGCCACACCCTTTATTCACTCCCAGGCACCAAAATCTACGGTGTGGACGGAGAAATGTCACCAAAATCTATGGTGTGCCTGAAGAAATGAGGATTTCAGGGAGAGGGAAGGCTCCAGTGAGCTGGAGGAGAGCAGGGCTGGATCTTTTCCCATGCCCAGGAGCTGTGGGGAGCTGACATCACACAGGCAGGTGAGGCTCATCTCCAAACAGAAACCTGGAGCTCTGCTGGTTTGGAGGTGCTGTCTGCAGGCACCCCCCTGGCTATGTTGACAGAAGCAGATTTCTATCAACAAAGCTTTGGAGCACAGACAAGGAATGAAACTCATAAAAGCTCCTGGCTCCCTGCTCCTTGGACCACAGGGCATTTGGATGTGCCCAGCTTTCCCTGGGTCCTGACTGAGGCTGCAGCTCTGTGTTTGCTAAACAAACACGGGGCAGGAGTGGGTGAAGTGCAGCAGAAATGTTCAAAAAGCAGCAAAACCAAGGCAGGCTTTGGGCAGAAGGTTTTTTTTCTCTGGTTATCATGAGTCTGCAGAGCTTCTCCTTTGACTCCAAAGGACTTTTTTGCATAAAATTCCAGACTGGTTTGGGTTGAAGGAAGCCTAAGGCTCATCTTGCAATGGCAGGGACATTTTCCACTAACCCAGGGTGCTCCAATCCCATCCAGCCTGGCCTGGGACACTTCCAGGGATCCAGGGGAAGCCAAAAATTCTCTGTGCAACCATTCCCGGGCCTCCCCACCCTCACAGGGAAAAAGTTTTTAAGCACTTTTGTTGGATCTGGAATAGGAATGTGATGCACTAAACAACCTCCCCAACACCTCTGAGCCAGCCCAGGCCCAACTTGGCTGCTCCAAATCCTGCTGGACACAAAGGAACTTTTCCCTTTTGCAGATAACTGAGGGATTTCCACTGTCTCCAATTCCTGCTGGACACAAAGGAACTTTTCCCTTTTGCAGATAACTGAGGGATTTCCACTGTCTCCAATTCCTGCTGGACACAAAGGAACTTTTCCCTTTTGCAGATAACTGAGGGATTTCCACTGTCTCCAATTCCTGCTGGACACAAAGGAACTTCTCCCTGAGGGATTTCCACTTTCTGCCTCCTCCCTTTAGAGAGAAGGAAAGCAAAGTGTTCCAGCACAGACCAGTCTCAAAATCGACTTCATTTAAATAGGCTGCAGACAAAGGTCAAAGAACAGATGATGTTAAGGGTTGTTAAGGAGCTTATAAATATCTCCACTTCAAAATAACCCCCAGAGTCTTCTCTCCCTGCCTTGCCCATTCCCAGCCCCACACCGCTGTTTGCTCAGCCAGTGCGAACCCCAATCAAGAGCGACTTTCTCTCCACCAGCCTTCCTGCTGTCTTTCCCTTCACCTAATTAAACCAGCAGATTAACTTCCAGCTAATGAAGGAGCACTTCCCTCAGCTGGCAGCCACGTGGCCTGCTGGAATGTATGGGGATAATTTTAGTTGCAATAAAGTCAGTGATGTAATCAGTGTCAACACCAGTGTTCAATAGCAGGGGAGTTTCTTGGAACAGCTTCAAGCACTGCTGGATGCAGGATCCTGCCACACCCCCATGACACCCATTTTAACCTTCCTTGCAGGTTTTATAAAGAACAAACTTCAACAGAACCCGGGGTTAAGGAAGTTTTGCATTTTCCCTTTGGGACACGCTGGCCTGACACACCTTCTGTGGACTTTGCTCAACAGTCTCACCTGGAATTTTCAGCCAGACAGGAGTTTGCAAACCAGCCCATGATGTCATTGCCCAGTTCCTGTAAAACCAAAAGGAATCTGATGCCTGAAGCCTGTCACAAGCTCTCACCAAACAGGACTTTTGCCTTTGGACTTCACCTTTCTGGAAGCTCCCAGGAAAGGTGACAGCAATGAGTTGGTCCCCAGAGCTGGGCCAAAAACACCTTAGAAATAATAATTCATGTAAAAAATTAATGAAATAATAATTCATGTAAAATTCATGAAATAATAAGTTAAGTAAAAAAATTCATGAAATAATAATTCATGTAAAATTCATGAAATAATGATTCAAGTAAAAAAATTCATGAAATAATAATTCATGAAAAATTTGTGAAATCATAATTCATGTAAAATTCATGAAATAATAATTCATGTAAAATTTGTAAAATAGTTAATGTAAAAATTCATGAAATAATAATTCATGTAAAAGTTGTGAAATAATAATTCATGTAAAATTTGTGAAATAATAATTCATGTAAAGATTAATGAAATAATAATTCATGTAAAATTAGTGAAATAATAATTCATGAAAAATTCGTGAAATAATAATTCATGAAAAATTTGTGAAATAATAATTCATGTAAAAAAATTCATGAAATAATAATGAATGTAAAATTCGTGAAAAAATAATTCATGAAAAATTCGTGAAATAATAATTCATGTAAAAATTCAAAAGATTAGGGATGTTCTCCTCAGTGGCACAATTGGATTGTTCCAAACCCACTCTGTGCTGTCTTAATATTCTGTGTCTGGGAGTTCTTATAGAGGGAAAATTTATTTCCACAGGGAGGATTTTCAGGAGCAGATGCTCCTGGGTGGGCTATTTTAGCAACAGTGTGAAACAGCAGCTCCTGCACTCCATAAACACAAACAGAAGGAGATGAAAACCTCTGGGGCTGGAAAGGAGCTGCACATCTGCATCTCCCTGAGGCCTGGTGGAGCAAAAAGGCTGCATTTAGTGGGAAAGGGTGTTCCAAGCTGGCTAGGAAAACAAAGGGAGGGGATTTGGCTTCTTTACTCTAGAAAAGGGGATACTCTCCCATCAAACAGCCTGCAAGAAGAAATCTCAGCTGGATCTCAGAATAGGGGGTGATGGAACAACCCCATGGCAAGGTGGGAAATCCAGGATTGCTGCTGCCCCAGGAAGATCAGGACACGAAATAAACACTGTGGAAAAGGCTGGAGGCTCAGGAATTGTTGTGTTTGCAGGGATTCCTCCTTTGTGGCAGGGAAGAATGATGGATCTGACTCCATGTTCTCAGAAGGCATATTATATTACATTACATTATATTACATTATATTACATTACATTATATTATATTATATACTATATTATGATATACTAGCTATACTAAAGAATACAAATAGGATACTTACAGAGTGCTAAAAAGATAATAATGAAAACTCGTGATTCTTTCCAGAGTCCCAACACAGCTTGGCCCTGATTGACCAAAGAGTGAAAACAACTCACAGGAGAATGCAATGAAACAATCACCTGTGGGTAAACAATCTCCCAACACATTCCAAAGCAGCAAAACACAGGAGAAGCAAATGAGATAAGAATTGTTTTCCCTTTTCTCTGAGCCTTCTCAGCTTCCCAGGAGAAAAATCCTGGGAGAAGGGATTATTTCAGAGAATGTGAATGCCACAGGGATTGGCAGAGAGGATGCTTCAAATCCCCTAATTTTTGAGGTTTTGTTTACAAAAACAACCCCCTAACCTCTGCAACCCAAATCAACCAAAGAGGTGCCATCCTCATCCAGAGGGAGGAATTCTAAAAGATCCCGTGAAGGCAAAAGTCTTGCTTGGTTTTAGGCAAGAAACTCCTTTCTGTTTTACAGGCATCGGGCAGTGACAGCCCAAGGCTGCTTTGGACACTCCAGGGTGGCTGAAAATTCCAGGTGAGCCCATGAAAATTCCACGGTGTGTCCCAGCATGGAGAGCCAGGGTGGGGAGAGGAGCTGGGATTCCATCCCTGGGAGCACTTTGGAGCTGTGCTGGCTCCTCCTGCACCCACCTGCTTCCTCAGCAGCTCCTCCTTGCCTTCTTTCCTGTCCTTTGCAGAAGGGAAACAGCGCTGGGGCTTGAGCACCGGGCTGAGCAGGTGGCAGATTTTGCTGTGGACGCTGTTCCAGTCAGTTTTCTGGTGGGAGACATCACTGGCAAAAGGAGGGGAGAAAGACACTGGTATTTGCTGGGATTTTATGTAAAGGGAGATTATTCCCTGCTGTCTTTGAGGATTTCTCCACTCAGAGCCCCTGGGCTGCCTGCAGGGTACCCAAAACATGATATTCCCAAATGTCTGCATTTCACAGCTCCCTCCTGCCCCATCCCCAAAGTTTTCTGTGCTAAAATCCCAATAATGATATTCCCAAATGTCTGCATTTCACAGCTCCCTCCTGCCCCATCCCCACAGCTCTCTGTGCTAAAATCCCAATAATCCCAAATTTCTGCATTTTACAGCTTCCTCTGCTAAAATCCCAATAATGATATTCCCAAATTTCTGCATTTCACAGCTCCCTCCTGCCCCATCCCCACAGCTCTTTTTATCCATACAAGTATTCATTTACAGGTGATTACAAAGTTCTTTTATCTGTACAAATACTGAATACCCAAAATACAAATGCATATTCATAACTTTGGTACATCCCATTCCTCACTTCGTTAGGTAATTAGTCCAAAAGCTAATTATGCATGCTTAATTTGTTCCTTGAAATGGGTCAGTGGTCCCTTTCATGGGGAGGGGTCCCAAAATGAGGAAGTAAATGAAGTCATCCTCCTTCTGACCTTTCTACCTTTTCAATGCAAATATGACAAATGAGCTCTTGGTAGAACTCCCATTCCTGTCTTCAATTGGTTTCAGAGCAGAGGAGGCCACAATTGTCTTATGTTCCTAAAAACAATTGTTCCTAAAAGCTATTTATCAGTTTCTATAATGAAGAATCATTATAAACCCAGCTAACCAAACATTATGTTGACAAGCAATCAATTATTAGTTAACCACTAACTCTGAACTTCATCAAGGCCTACCCATTTATTTTGATTAACTCCATTAAAGCTTATCTCTAACTAAAAACCTCAGCTCCTCTAAAATCTCTAAATTCCTTAAAGCTGATGCCTTACCCTGGAGCTTCTTCCCATGCCCTGTCCTTTGTGTCCTGAGCTTTTTGTGCCTCTTGTCCTGTCCTG